GTCAAACTGCAAGTCTACCACTGTTTTTTTGGCGCCCGCCTAGGCGCTAGGCGCTGTCCGGGCGCTCTTACTGCAACCATGGTCAAATCAAATAGCTCGCATGTTTGTGTTGAAATGCATACTTACAGATATTCAGGTATACATAAAGCATGTTAGACAAAACTGTATGTTATAAGGCATTCCATTACGCATATATACAATATTATTAATTGCAAGCAATCTGCATATACGTGCCAATACTTGTATACTTAGTATGCTATGACCAATCCCATATGACTCCTCGTGTATTCACGGCGTACGAATTAGACATAAAGTATTCATCTATGAAATCCGGTGAAATATTCCGCATGTGCTAAACGTTAGTATTTATGTAAATACTCGTTATGTGATTACCCATCATTATTCATGATGTGCAAAATAAAGGTCCTAATTCTATTGTCTCCCCAAAGTTATTTACCCCATAAGAAACAAGAACATTTCTCCTAATTCTTACATGAAGATCTTTTTATCAGAAATCGATCTTTTATTAGTTCGAGTAATTATTATATGATTTATGACCTTCCTGAATTTATATGACAATTGTTTGGTTATGCCGCAATGTGGAGTACGTGAATTCATTTGTTAATTATTCACTAGTTTAACATGTTGAATAATACGTATATGTGCTGTGTGATTCCATAGGACTATTTATTATTTAAGATTTGAAATATGCTCACATGCATTCATACTCTATGCCTATAGACTTAAAAAATTGCATATTTTGCATAATTACAACTCTATAAATAAAGGCATGCCAACTTGCAGGTACCACATATAAATAGTTAATTATCATACGTGTTAGGCTTGTTATTTTGTAATCGCGAGAATTTGGTATAATTTGTTTAGCACAATGATTTGGTATAGATCCTGTATATATGGCATTTGGCTCGCGACATGCTACACTACATATTAAATGTTTGCATCCACTCGTAAATGTGGTTCGCCTGTGTCGATATATGTGCATATGTGTTTTATAATGATTATGTGGCTATTCGCATCTGCACCCGCGTGGTATTAGCCTCTTATTTAGGTACACAAATAATTATATTTGCATGTTCAGTTCAACTTGTGCTCCTATATGTTAAAACATTATAAATTAATTAAACAATGAACATGCCATGAGTAAGACTTCTATGTTATGTTATTATTCATTCATAAAAGTAACATAATGTGCGTTGCATATTCATAACCTTATTATTTGGTGCATTTTGCCAGCACAATAGTTAGGCTTAAACCCAGTACATTTATATGTGTACATGCATATATTTCCCATATAATATATTCCTTATGCACTACTATATTAATTCAGACTCTTTATCCCCAAAATGATCTCAAAGCTTCGGGACGAAGCTTCTTGTAAGGGGGGAAGGGTGTAAGATCCCGTGTTACGGACTTTAATCCTGAATTAATTATTTAATTAATTACGTTAATAATAATTAAAAATGATTTAATTTGGTTAGGATTCTCTCTAAATAATTAATGTGGTCCACCATGGACCTTGGACCCCTGCCTAAACTAGAGTCTTAAGCCTATTAGGAATAAAGAGAGTATATCTTTTACTAGTCAGATTCTAATTAGGAATCCTAGGCTTATATATCTGTTAGGGATAAAGAAAGTAGGCCTTTACTATTCAGATTCTGATTAGGATTACTGATTCTATAAATAGGGGGTTAGAAAGCAATTAGAACCCTTACCACCCATAGTTATATTACACGAAATTATTCCCAAGAGATTCCCCACCACCAAGCCTAGGGAGATGAATCGGATGAAAATCTTAGGGAAGAACTGTGACACCCCGTAAATCTAAATATTGATCAAGGATTAATTGAAGAATTAATCGAAGTTCCCTTGCTAATCTATTTCTAAAAATCCTGAAATTTAATAGTCGAGGGACTAGATTTTGACTAGTCACTTAAGTCAAAGGGTTGTACCTTGTGCTTCTTGAGTTGTGCCCTTGTTCCCTTGTCTTTCTAACATTAGTAAGGGTAGGAATGTCTTTCTACCAAAGGATTGTGATTCAAGCTAACCTAGCAAGACTCTCTCATTTCATTCACCCTTCAACCAAAAGCCCAAAAACTCTAGCCTCTCTCTAAAATGATTTTGTTTCTTCTCCAAGCTAGAAATTGAGCATCCATGAAACACTCCGTGTTACGGCCTTCAATCCCGGATTAATTATTTAATTAATTCCGTTAGGAAAGGTGGAATCTTGGAGACAAACTTTGAAGATCTTGGAAACCCCAAACTTAGCTTGAAGGAAAAGCTAGATAAATTTCTAGAGAGAAGGAAGAGCTTTTGTTTTGAGAGTGTAAGGGAAAGAATGAAAGGTGTCGTCTAGGTTAGCTTGGAATACAATCATGAGGTGAAATGTCTTCATTAACCTTACTAAGATGAAAAAGTGTAAGGGAACAAGGGAACTATTCTTAAAGCCTTAGGTACAACACCTTGACTTGGGTTGACTAGTCAATTACTAGTCCCCGACTATTGAATTTTTAGGAATTAAAAGAATAAATCACCAATTAGATTAGGATTAATTACTTAATTAATCCTTAAATAGAATTTGGATTTACGGGGTGTCACATCCTCTCCCCCTTAAAAGAAGCTTCGTCCCCGAAGCTTGGGTACGACGAATCAAAGCAAAACGGGAAAACGAAACAACAAGGTGACAAGAGTGTCAAGAATATCCTTTTGGTCAAAATTTAAAGGATCCAAATGATACCAAGAACAAGCAAGAAATCGTAGCATTGAAAGGTTGAAGGAAATAACCAACGGAATTCTTTTGAGCACAACAAACACTAAACCAAACACAACCACAACTAGCAAACGGTAGCATCAACTAAAAGATAACAACAAACTAAGGAAAGGTGGACGGGATTACCACAACACCGCGCTAGAAGGACTCGCTCTCTGATTCTTCGCTGTCTTCATCGGACTCCTCATCTTCTCCCATTCGGCTCGAGCTAGCCTCTATCTGATCTAACCTCTGATGAACAGCAACGAACTGCGTCTTCATGAAAGCAAAGCCCTCTTCGATCATCCGGTTTTGTTGACGTAGGAGGGTGACCACACGCTCTTCGTGCGTCATGGAATCGCGCTCTTTTTTGGTTCGGGCTTCTCTCCTCCTCCGGTTCTCTTCACTCTCCGGATCACTTTCCTCAACCTCGGTAGCTTCTCCCACTTCCGCTTCCTCTTCATGGCCTTCTTCTTCTTCATCCCCCACATCACCTCCTAGGCTCTGAACCGCGAGGTTCAACTTCCCGACAGGAATCTCGAGCTCTGCAACCAACTCATCTCTCTCCTCAGGGGTTTTCCTAGCAACTTCCTCGATAGTGTTGTATTCACCGTCATCCAACTGGAACAAGTTGCAACTCCGTAGATTGATAGCATCCAACACCATCTTTCCTACGGCCTTCGGTGCACAATTTTTCACACTCACGCCCTTCTTGACAAAAATCCAACTCAAAACCATCCCATAAGGTAGGCTCTTCTGGTTGTGGTCTCGACAGAAAACCATGTGTTGCAACATCAAGGCAGGTAGATTAAACTTTACCATATTCTTCAGACAAAAGGCAAATGTACACTCTAGCTTTCCCAACAACCGACTTTTGTTGTTATTGTGCAACAAACAATCCGACACAAGCATAACTAAGATTCTTTGCTCGGCAGACAACCATTTCTTCTCCGGTCTCGAGGCTTGAGTGAACTCACTCGTCCGGCCCAACAGATAACTCAAATAGTCCTGGTACCCCATGGTATCCGTACTAATCCAAGAGTTACCATTGTACAGAGAAACTCCCGTAGCGGTTAAACTTAAGAGCTGAGCTAACCTCTTTTCAGACAGAACAACTTTCTCACCCCTCACATTAGAAGTGATTTCAAGCTTTCCTCCATCCTTCGCCACAACCATGTGACGGTAAAACTCCTTAACCAAACTCGGGTATGTCTCGGCCCTTATGGCGAGGAACCCATCTAACAAACCTTGATATCTTAACATATCCAACAAAGAACTAGGAAAAGATTCCGGGTCAAAAGCTTTACTTTCTAAAATGAGATAATGGGCATCCACCCATTCCACTTTTCTTGCCAAACTTGTTCTCCTAGGCATGTTTGAAAGATGACCCAAAGCTCATCGAAAGGACCCAAGACCTTCCTCCTCTTTTTCTTCTTATTCTCTCTCGCGTCGACTTTCTCTCTCTCTCGCTGCTTTTCTCGGTTTTCTGGCGGACACAGCTGCTCGGCGGAGGAATTCCGGCAGATGGCGGCGGCGGCTGGAGACGTCGGCGGTGGTCCGGTCGGCGACGACGGGGACTGGGGCGGGTGGTGAAGGCGACGGGCTGGTAGAGGTCTTGGTTGAAGCTCACGGGTGGTGGGAGGGGAGGGAAAATAGGGGTTTTGGGATTTGGGGAGGAATTGGAAAAAAGATGATTTAATTTGGGGATTTTGGGTAAAGTGGAAATTTATGGGTGAAGTAGAATTAACATTAGGTAAGGTTTAAGAAACATAATTAGCTCAAGTGGTTCAAGGGTTAGGTTGGTAAATGGTACACCTAAGTTCAAAACTTAAGGTTTACAATCTAAAATTTACTTGGTCTTTTAGGCTACACAAGAAGATTTTCTATGGTTTTTCTATTACAAATTCAAGGGACACTTAGATAATTTTAGGTGACTCACAAGAAGGATAGGTTACAAAAATACATGTGCAAGGCTACGAGATTAACACAAGCATGAACCAATTTATAAATAAACAATTAACTCCACGAAAGACTTTCACTTAAGACCAAGAGAATCATGCAAAAAAGAAGACGAGAAAACACAAAAGACTATGAAGGAAACAAGACAACAAACAAAAGCAACAAGGAACAAAATGTGGTCTAAAGACAAGGGTAGGCTAGAAAAGACTTACCTGTTATCTCCTCCTCAACTAAGCCTTCCATCTCCGCCTGAGATCGCCCCATCACGAAAACTCTACCCGGACGGTCTGGCCCCAGCTGCTCCACGACTCGAGCTCCCGCCCGATGCTCCTCCGGATCCCGTAGATGGTGGCAACGCCCTTTGGTTAGCTTGCTGAGGGCACTCGGCAATCTTATGACCTCTATCCCCGCAACGGAAACATCGGAACGCTTGACCATGGCAATCCTTGCCCGCATGCTCTTTCCCACACCTACGGCACGGGAACGTCCAGGCTTGGCTCCTGGGCTCCGCTCGAGTTGGTCCTTGAGATGGGGGAGGCGCGTTCTTGGCTTGGAAGTTCTGCTTGGGCCTCTTGAAGTTTGAAGATCCTCCACTCTTGGTCCTCTTCCTTGCAAGCTCATAAGATCCACGCTGTAGCTGCTGCACCCGATACAAGTCCGCGGCACTCAAGTATGCTTCCTTCAAAGACCTCGGCCTACTCACGGTTAAAGCCTTGCGTGCCTCGTAGTTCAAACCGGCTACGAACTTCTTAGCTTTGGCGAGCTCGGTGGGGACAAGCATCCTGGCGAAGCGAGCGAGCTCTAGAAACTTCTTGTGGTACTCAACCATCGATGAAGAACCTTGTTGAAGGTGCAGGAACTCCTCATAGATCGCGGCTCGAACATGCGCCGGATAAAACCGCTCACGCATCCGGTCCTTCAAGGCCGTCCAGTAAAAGCCAGGCTCCTCAAGACAAGCTGGGCCCTCGTGTATCCACCACAAGTCGGCCTGCAAGCTCCACTCGCCGCTCCTCTAGGCATCCAATAATAGAAAAGATCTTGTCAAACGTCCTTACCCACTCTTCAAGCACAATGGGGTCTTCCTCGCCCGCGAACGTCGGAGGTCTATGGCCTGACATAAGGCGTCCTATATCTCTATGCCCGGCAGGCTGTGGAGGTGGCACAGGATGGTTGTTGTGCAATAACGCCTCGCTGAGGGTCTGCATAGTCTACGTAAGCTGTTGCAGATTCTGGGCAAGCTGTTCGTTCGTCGGGGTTTTCGGTGTACGTGCACGCTGGCGGGGAGGTGCCATTGCAAAGCTTCTACAACAACAACACTATTACAAAACAAAACAACAAGCAAGCAAACAACTATAAACAACACACAACTCACTGTGTGTCCTAAGAGTCCTAAGTCCTAGTCACTTAGACTCTTACGGTTGCTTAGGGTCTCAAACCACACTTAACCACTTAAAAGTCTAGACTCTAGCATCCTAGGCTCAAACCTAGGCTCTGATACAAACTGTAATACCCCCGACTTCTATGCCATTTTAAACTTAAATATGCAAGATAATCTAACCACAATATAAGCAAAACACAGCGGAAGTCTAACTATATAAAAACTGGAAAACGAAGAGTGTTATGCCATGTCCACACTAAGGTGAACGCACAGGAAAGAACGTCATCACATCACAGTCTAGAAGTCTAACATGAGACAAGGTTAAACCAATAACAATCTATTGTTCATCACAGGGGGCACACAGGCCCATAACAAAGCTAAACAGAGTCTGAGGGGAAACTACACTAGCCATCTCTATATCGCGCTCGCCACTACTCGGGACTTGAAAAACACACAAATAAATGGGACGACGCCTGGTTAGCGAATAATGCTGGTAACCCATCAATACGCGTCAACAACATATATATATAGATAGATAGATAGTTTATTGCAAAATCATTTTGAAACGGAATACTGTATATATCACTTCAAAACCAAAGATAGAAGTCAACCACAAAGACTCTATATCTCTCACAACAAGGATAACGGAACACATCCCAAGACACATCAAGAAGTGACAACACAACACAAGAAAGGCTCAAGGTGTATTCTACCATCACTCAGTGGAATATCACCCGACATGCTCAACACAAGAGAATAAAGAGACACACATTGGCAACACATGCCTTCGTGACATCACTTGTTACGCATAGAGAAACACACATCGGCACACATGCCTTCGTGACATCACTCATCACGAATACAATAATCCATCCTTATGCCCGGTTCCAACCTTTTGGCTACCCCCAACCTTATAGCTAGTTCCAAACATTACCTCTAGGACCCCTGTACATCCAAGTCCAACCTTATTCCTCCGAGGACCGTCGTCCCCATCCACCAACAAACCACCAACAATTTCCACCAACAAAAGTACACGAGGGTACCAATCACACACAAGGCCACAGCCACCCAAGAATACGTGAACCCATCACACAGGTCACAAACTCCATAATCACGTCACGGCCACCACGAGGACCACTGTCGTACTTTGGTGACTAATGTCCCATTCCATTAATCATGCAATCCAGGTACAGCCACACACACAACACCGTCATAGGAATCAATCAACGGATCAGAACGAAGATATGAAACCATACTCAATCAAGGAAAGGATCACAATCCGACAACAACGATGATCAACACAAGTGGAATCTTGGAGACAAACTTTGAAGATCTTGGAAACCCCAAACTTAGCTTGAAGGAAAAGCTAGCTAAATTTCTAGAGAGAAGGAAGAACTTTTGTTTTGAGAGTGTAAGGGAAAGAATGAAAGGTGTCTTCTAGGTTAGCTTGGAATACAATCATGAGGTGAAATGTCTTCATTACCCTTACTAAGTTGAAGTGTAAGGGAACAAGGGAACTATTCTTAAAGCTTTAGGTACAACACCTTGACTTGGGTTGACTAGTCAATTACTTGTCCCCGACTATTGAATTTTTAGGAATTAAAAGAATAAATCACCAATTAGATTAGGATTAATTACTTAATTAATCCTTAAATAGAATTTGGATTTACGGGGTGTCACATCCTCTCCCCCTTAAAAGAAGCTTCGTCCCCGAAGCTTGGGTACGACGAATCAAAGCAAAACGGGAAAACGAAACAACAAGGTGACAAGAGTGTCAAGAATATCCTTTTGGTCAAAATTTAAAGGATCCAAATGATACCAAGAACAAGCAAGAAATCGTAACATTGAAAGGTTGAAGGAAATAACCAACGGAATTCTTTTGAGCACAACAAACACTAAACCAAACACAACCACAACTAGCAAACGGTAGCATCAACTAAAAGATAACAACAAACTAAGGAAAGGTGGACGGGATTACCACAACAAACTAAGGAAAGGGTCCCCGACTATTGAATTTTCAGGAATTAAAAGAATAAATCACCAATTAGATTAGGATTAATTACTTGATTAATCCTTAAATAGAATTTGGATTTATGGGGTGTCGCAACAATGACCGGGCACAAGTGGTGTCAATCTCCAACAATTCATTACCACCAAACACAATCTCATCATTATCATCAACACTACAAAAAAACGCGAAAGTAGCGACGGCTTTAGCGACGGACGTGTTCCGTTGCTAATTTAGAGACGGAATAGCGACAAATTAGTGGCAGATTTCAATTTTTTGTTAAATGAAAATTTAGCGACGGCATAACGACGGATGTTGCGACGGAATATTTCCGTCGTTAAATACGTAGCTAATTTTAGCGGTAAACTTTGGTGCGAAAATTAGAAACAAATTAGCGACGTTCTTTTGCGAGCTGATTTCATTATTTTAATTGCTACAACCTAGCGACGGATATAAGCATCCGTCGCTAGATATTAAAGTATAAATGTGTTTTGTTTACATTGTAGCGATGGATAGTCGAATCCGTCGCTAGATTTGAACATCCGTCGCTACATTTATGTAGCCGGAAGAATTTTTTAAAACATTTTAACGACGGAATTCAATTTTGTCGCTAAGCTTACATATCGGATTTTTAACATATGCTATATAGCGACGAATTTATCATCCGTCGCTACATTTATGAAGCGGTAAGAATTTTTTAAATCATTTTAACGATGGAATTTCAAATCCGTCACTAAGCTTACATATTTGATTTTTAACATATATTAAGTAGCGGCGGATTTTACATCCGTTGCTAAATTTGGAGGCGGGATTATACTTATACATTAGCGACGGATATCCGTCCGTCACTACTTAGGCCACACCAATTTTTTTTTTTTTTTAAATTGTAGCTACGGATTATGGATTCCATCGCTATGTATCACAAATTTAAAACGTACGCCAAAGTTCACTAAAATGAACAAAGCTGAACATTTTCTCCTAACCCTAACTACACTTCTTTCTTCTTCTCCGACTCGCGTCTCTTTTCCCTATCTAGATTGCGCTACCTCCGACGATGACTGCGCTACCTACCCTGACGCCCATCGCCGACGGCGCTGCTTCTCCGCCGACCGTCGCTTCCTAATAGGAACCAGCACACATGGAATCCAATAAGGGTCTATAGTGGGCTCATCACAAGGCCAAAAAGTACATCCTTAAAGCATCATTGGTGGAAAAATCAAGGAATTCCAATAATAATTCCATTCGATAGAGGAAAGTATTATAGTGGCCCGTTTCAAGTGATGTCACGGATCGAAGACAATGTTTATAAGATTCGAGGTCGAATCATTTTTCAAGAAGGGGAGGATGATGCGGCCCAACATAATGAAGATCCATTAAGATTACAAATTGGGCCAATCACAAGATCCGAGGCCCAAATCAGCTTTATTATTTGTGGTCATCATTTATTTTAAATTGTTTAGAATTAAAGAGAAAACACTAGTTGTATTTAGAAAGGATTCCTTAAATCCTTTTCTAAATAAAACTCTATTTACTTGTTTTCTAGATTAGGTTTAGGACTCGTTTTCCCATTGAATTTAGATTACAATGCTGCCCTATACCTATAAATAGGGCACATCCATATCAGTTTTGAGGAGGCTTTAATTCAATAAAATTATTAAGTTTTTCTTTACACTTGTGTAACAAACCTTATGGCTAATTGTGGACTCAATTAGTGACTAGTCGTGGACTCGACTAGCAAATTGATTCGTGGACTCGAATCAATCTTACTTTCTTCAACCTTAGATTTAGGTTCGTGGACTCGTTCTTGAATCGAAGGAAACTAGATCCGACTCTAGTTGATTGAAGATTGCATCATCGAGGTACTTGAAGCTACAATGGGATTCTTCCAAGTCTTTGAGGATTCGAGACAAAGGGTTTCTCGTGAGGTTTAAGGTATTTCGATCCATCTCTATCTTTACATTGAGAGCAATTCTTGGGACAATACTCATCTTATTTGAATCTTGGACTAGATCCATATCAATTTGGTATCCAAAGAAGGAAGTATGGCAGAAAGATATGCAAGACCAATATCGAAAGATAGAGACAAATAGAATATAAAAGAGGTTCACGTGTACCACAACCAATTAGGAATCTATCAAGAACTCCTTCCAACCTTATACTTTTCCCCTTCCTTGTCCCTCCAAAATTCTTCTACCAGCCAAATTCTTTCCCCAACCTTATTCTTCTTCTTTATAGCTTTCTCTTTTTTTTTTTTTTTTTTTTTCCTTTTTTCTTTCAAATCTTGCTTAGTTTCTTTGCTTGTATTGTCCTTTTTCTTTGCTTCTTGCTCTCAATTTTATTACCTACCTCGCGATACACCTTACTCTCAAAGGCTTGTGAAGTTTTCCAAGGTACGTTTTATTGAACTTTGAGGTTGAATCCATACCAACTTGAGTTCCGAACTAGAATTTTCCTTTTTGGAAAAAGGCTTGTGAGAGTATCTGCCACCTTGAGCGATACACGAGTGGAGTGTGTATTTGTAAGAGTGTGTAGTGCACCCCCAGAGCCATATAATCCACCTCTTACCTGCGAGCTGAGAATAGTGAGGGAGCGAGCCAACTTTTTGGCTTCACTAACGTGATTACTCACACATCTTCTTGTTTTTTTTTTTTTTTTAGATATTTTGTTTCCTATACAGATGGCTGATCAAGTTCCAAACTTTCCCCAGACATTAGAACAAAAGATAGACAGGTTACTCAAACGAATGAATAATTTGGAGCAACGCTCACAGCAAGTGCAACCACCACACAATGATGAGCGACACCTGCCACCAGTAGGAA